CAGGTGGAAAGGAAATACAACCAAAATTTTCTTGAGATTTTGTATAATATTTCGGATTAATTAGAAAATAATTAGAGAAAATACTCGAAAATTGGTTAAAAATTAAAATTTTATTTTGATATTGTTTACCTTTTGCTATACTCCTTCGGCGGCTATTTTGAGGCCTTCGGCCACACCCCATCCCCACGGGGGGAGGCGAAGTGCCGCCGAAATTTTTTAAAATCTGTCGGGGACCCTTGAGGTCGAGCAATTTTGCATAAAGACATATACAAGGAATATAAGTATATGTAAAATAAGAAAGGGGGTGTATCTTACGTGAGCGTAATTTTTGTAAATTACATACAGTTAAATACAGAAGAAATTCCCTAGGTAGGAAAAGGGGAAGGGAATTGGAGTAGAAAAAGTATAGGGTTGTTCCCTTACCCCCTCTTAAGGGTTGGGACCAGTGAAGGGAATTTTTGTTAATTAAAATTTATTTATTTGGTATTTATGTAATGTAAATTCAAATTAAATAGTTAGTGTGTGGCGGAAAGAGAAAGATACTTGTCGCGCTACTCTCCAGGGGAAACCTTGTATGCCCCTAGGCACTGGTGGAGGACCGGTAGGTTTCTGAAGATTTAAAAAAAAATAAATTAATCTAAATTAATTAAAATTCCTAAAAAATATTAAAATGGCTGAGAGAAATAGCCGAAAGAAGGTGAAGGTCTTCTAATTTTGGTAATTAGATAGGGGGTGACATCTGTACTCCTGAGGGGTGACCGGAACAGTTGCGGGCAGCATTCCCTTGAACAGGGCACACGCCTTGTATTCGAGGGAACTCGACTATAGGGCCCGTTTGCCTTGTTTAGGGCCGGGATTTCGCCATGGGCACCATAGGGAACTCTTGGGATAGATAGAAGGTAGATCGGCAGCGTAAGATCGGGGCTCCCAACGAAGGGAGGCGAGGCGCTGCCAAAATTTTTCTAGAAACGACAGTCTTTTTTGGCTATCTTTCACCTCCTCTACCCATCCCTCTTAAGCCATCTGTTGGTTGTGGCCGCAAGTGCAGGTAGAGGTCTATGACGCCAGCAGCGCCTGGGACGTGGAGCCCCAGAACTCATAGAAGGGGGTCTGGTGGAGCTCACGATTCCCGCACACAGCGTCCGGTATGCTGACGGCCAGTTTGCGTGGAGGTCCATAGTCTTGTCTGCAGACGTGTGGCTTTGGACGCACAGAGAGCACCGGCCTGGACAAGGAGTGGGTGTAGTGAGAGCCTACCTGTACTTAGGACCGGACGAGGTCAAGAAGGCCGTGCTGAGCCTTGCGACGACTGAGACTAGTGGCGCAGTTAGCAGGGCATTATGCTACCTGAGGGACGAGGTAGCCGCCTTCCGAGCGGAGTACTCGAGCGACCCGTTGACCATATTTCACGGCCGCCCTCCTCTTGATATCACGGGCGAGCTGGTGGTAGCGCGAGACCGGTTTTTCCCGTACAGCGTTTCGAGTCTGCGGGCGGTAATCCAAGCGTTCGTTGTAGAGAGCATCTTTGGAGGTATCGGCGGAGTGGTCGAGGCATACTTAGCCTATCAGGACCTCAAGGTCCTTGCGAGAGGGCCTGACGACCTCGACTACCTCTATTATTCGCTTGCGACCGGTGGGCCTCGTTGGGGTGACGAGAGGGTTCAACCCACAGAGCTGATCCATTCGATAGACGACGAGTGGCCCCAGTCTCCGTGCGTTTGGGATTGGCTGGACCGTGAGCTTCGAGCAGGCCCCGAGTACGTGACCTGTATCAGGTGGCTCTTCTCAGACGACTGGGGTAGCCGGTGGAGTGAGGACGCTGAGCGACCTCTGATATACGGCTATCAGTTGGCAGAGTACTACCAGGTTATAGGACAGGCGCCATACCGCGTCAAGGACGAGTTTGACGACGAGGGTTGGGAGTGAGAGGACGACGAGGACGCCTGGGAGCCGGACTGGGTCGACCCAGAGAGAGAGGTTGACGAGGAGGAGGAGGTCGACACGGTGGACGCTTACTTCCCGCGCATACGGGTACCGATTGGGGCCTAGGCGGAGTGTGCGGCGAGGCGAGTGCGAGCTAGGCTAGCCGTGAGATTCGACAGTAGAGTGGGAGAGTGAGATAGGAGATTCTGCGGGCAGATGGTAGAGGAGATCAAGAGAGTCGACCTATCCTTTGGTGATTTCAGATGGCCTAGACCGCCCGAGATTATAGCTCCCGACTTGGTGGAGCTTGATCTACTGGCCAGATGCAGCTCTGAGCCAGGGCTGACTGACGATTGGGGGTCGACTCGATTGGGGCCAGACGCGCACCTATGGTCATATACCGTTCAGACCTACGAGTCTGATCCGCAGAGGTGGCGGGCGCCCGGCACGACGTCCATAGAGGTCGTGGGGCATATTTATTACTCACGTGAGGTGAGCGGCGCCGTCTGTATCCAGGGCTTGGTGCATGGGTTCTGGCGGTATGAGAAAGAGGCGAGAGAGATCCTGACAGGCAAGATAGAAAGTGCGCGAGAGGAGATTGAGGATCTGTACGGGCCTATCCGGGAGACGAGGACTACGTTTCGGATAGGATGGTTTGTCTTTCCGACAGTCCGACTGCGCGTCAGGTTCCCGGTCTTTGTAGTGGAGCAACTTTGGGGCTTGGGGAGCGTCGTGGAGAGATATTTCGCGGCTCTAGAGCTCGACGGACTAGCCCGAGGGCAGAGGGACCGGGACTGGATTGCCTACGCACAGTTCGTGGGCGGACCTCTTACTGGAGAGAGAGGGGTACAACTCATTGAGTTCTTACGTGCCCTAGTGCCTACAGCAGACCACCACTTTTTTTTCCCGGGCCAGCCCTTAGAGTTCTGGGTGGCCTTAGAGAGGGAGGTCGAGAGGCCTATAGATAGTCTGGAGGGAGTCGGGCGGCTCTTTAGCGAGGCTCTCGGTGATAGGCCTTCTCCCCTCATTTCTATCAAGGAGTTGGAGGAGCATTATCAGAGTATATACCCAGATAGGGAGGAGATCGGATGGGACGTCGAAGATAGAGATTGGGTACAACATAGTGACATAGAGCCTTGGGGAGAGGACGAGAGATTGTGGAGAGACGTGCCTGACGTAGGGCAGGGCGAGATTGGCGTTGATATAGATGGACCGCAGGAGGACGGCTGGGGCCATCTCCTTCAGGCCGAGGGACAGGATGATATCCCATGGGGGCAGAGGGTAGATGAGGATGGAGATGAGGATATGCGAGATGCGCGAGACGATTAGTGACTAGACATATCCGAGCGTAGCTTAGAGAAGGAAGTAGCGGATCGGTTAGTAGGCACGGGGAGATAACTTTAGGCAAGATGAGAGTGGCAGTAAGAGCAGGAAGGGATGGCATACATGGATACACTGAGAGTGACTCTTTCCCTACAGCGAGATAGGACGGGCGGCTGGGAAGATGAGACGTTGGACAATGTTGAGCGACAGATCAGACTCATGACGGAGCATGCCCTAGAGATACGGAGAGGCCAGGGCCCAGAGGTACGTCGAGTTTACTATCTACTTCCATAGAGCTGACAGGAGAGTGCACAACACCTACTCGACCATACTGGACCTGAGTGGGAGAGTTGTCTGAGGAGTTAGCAACATCGTGAAATAGGGAGCGTCGAAGGGAGTAGGGTGACACAGATCGAGTGGCGAAGTGGAGATGAGGAGTGACTCGGTGGCTTGGCTAGATTATGTTCTCTCACGAGAGTCTGAATCCTATAGCGTGAGGAAACTTGTAAGACCCAGAGAGACGGCTGTTGGATATGATATTCCTCTTCCTGTGGGGTTAGAGGAGACTGGCTGTGTCCCGATAGGTTACCTTGGGACGTGGCTGGCAGAGGGACTTTTCCTTTGGACGGTGATACTAAAAGATAGACGACCCGAAAGGACTCATGACCTAGAAGGGGTCGGACATCTGCTGGCCGACAGAGCGTACGATTTGGACATAGGACTAACACTCGCAGGGGCAAGCAGGGCTTGGTGGAGAAACGAGTTGTTGGCCCGAGTGATCGTTAATCAGCAACTGGCGAGACTCTCTGGAGGAAGGTCGCATTGGAGTCGCTTGGTATACGGACCTCCGCATCCGACCCTCTACCCGAGAGAGGGTTGGCGATTTGGACTTCCTGCGTTCGTAATAGGGCAGACCTATGGGAGCGTAGATCGTCTGAATATAGCAGTGGACCACACACTTTACGCGCTTTGAGAGGGCTTAGCTCCCCGCTTCAAGGAAGCATACTACGCCATTTGTGTGAGATGGGGGCCACCTAACAGAGAGACGCTTGACGACATCATAGACGTTACTTGCTAGGTGGACTGTCTGAGGCCAGTCGATCTGATGAGGTACTGCAGAAGATGAGCGGAGATTGATTATGTGGGGCTGGAGGATGTGAGATTTTTCTTCGAGGTCGCAGCTTAGGGAATGTCGGGGAGAACGGTAACTGTGATGCGCTTAGATAAGCAATTGGTAAGCACAGGGTACACTGTTACGGTACTTCTCCGAGCATACATAGATGAGGACTTGACGGTGAGGGAGTGCCAACTACGAGCGAGGGATTTGATCCGCGAGCATAGAGCTGATGTATTGGCGCAGGTGACCTTCCAGACCTCGATTTCCTATGATGTGACAATATGGTCTCATGGTTATATGCGCGCGGAGCACTACCACGATGAGACGGTAGCGGAGGCTGGAGCGAGGGTATGAGGATGAGCTGGAAAGAGATGTGGACAGAGTATGGAAGAGGAGAGTGAGGCGGTCGGAAGAGTGAGAAAGTGCATTAAAGAACCACTCTTGAATCAGGTTAAGGAGTTGGGGAACAAGATAAGGGAGATCGGGTCGTGCCAGGATGGCAAGCTGTGTAGGGTTGAGCTCGTGACGAAAGGGTTAGAGAGTCTGTTCAGGGAGGATAGAGAGATTATCCAGGCGTGTAGATCAGACTTTCTGGAGAGGGTAAAGGTTAGGAACCTATCGCGCGAAGGAGCTAGGGAGAAGTCTGCAGAGGATGTGACAACGGAGGACAAGGTAACGCAGGGGGATAGCAACAGGACATGAGCGGGACTGCGCTACACACGACGGACAGGTACTCATTGCATGTGGTAGGGAGACTGGACGGACCATTGGTGTTAGTGATCGCAGAGCTCCAGCTCCATACCAGGTTGTGTATAGTTGAGGAGGCAGAGTATGTTCGTCGGGCACTACGTGAGGCTAGGGGAATAAGACTTTGGATTGGAGTCGAAGGAGGACGAAGGATAAAATACGTACTTCGAGTAACACCTCTCGAAGGGCGGTCTCAGATAAGGGCGTGGTACGAGACGACCAAAGAGGCTGAGAGACTGAAGATAAGCGAAGCTAGGGGAGCTGGGGAGCTAGGGAGAGTTATAGTAGACGGAGCGATACTGAGGGTGCTAGCTGCCCACGACCGATACTGGAGGGAATCGATAAAGACTTTAGAGGCTATAGAGCATAGTGGAGATGAGGACGATTTTGAGATGTTCTATGACATATTGGAGTTGTCGGCGATGAGATTACGAGAAGCTGTAGCACTGACTTCCCTTAGATACTATACAGATGACCTTATAGCTGTCTGGGGGTTAGAGGAGGAGATGGTTAGATGGCAGTAGGAAGAGAGTTACCTCCTTTTGCGGGTTACCCGATTCAGGAGGGACTAGATGATCTAGCAAGGAGGACGGAGATAGACGCCCGATGACTCTTGAGGGGTGCAACTCGGGAGACATTGGTTAGGCTTGAGACTGCGATCTGCAGCAGAAGTTGAGATCCTGTCACGAATGTAGTGCAGATCAGGAGAGGCTCGACCTTGTTGACAGAGCCCGAGGGAGAGGTTTACATAGACACCAGGATTCTTGGGTTAGAAGGAGAGCACGAGGTCCACGACGGGAACGGAGTACTGGTGGCAGTAATCAGAGCAGTCGAGAGCTAGGAGTGGAGACGAGCGCGAACCGTGAACAAGTAGACAGGTCCGGGCTGCAAGTTTTATCACAGGTCCGGGCTGCTGCAACTGTTATAGGTCCAGGTTGTAACGCCCGGCGAGCCCAACTACAACTTCTGGCAGCCTATGGAACCAGACACTATGGGGCCACAACCGACCACGGCCGAAACAGGAGAGGAGTACAGGACATCGCCTGATCGAGCACTGAGGGATCTGAAGGAACGAATTAGGCAGGGGGCACCGCTGAGATGGGTTGGCCAAACCAATGACGGAGAGCCCGACATAATGGGCGAGCCGGTCTTGACAGAGCCGCAGGAGGCATTGAAGACTGGAGCCTCGAGCGCTCGACGAGAAGCGGCGACACGTCGCTCCCCCGAGTATGAACGGAGGGAAACCAGGGCGGACAGGCGCGGGGATGACTGGAGAGAGAGTTCACGAGATTCCTATTGGAGGGACAAAGATAGGGATAGAGCACCGACCCGACGTGTCTTCGACCCCCAAACGGGGGAGTCACATCCACTTCCTTACGAGAGCAAGGATCGCTATATTATYACGCACAAGGCATCGGAGCCTCCTACTTTCAGGGGCTATGGTATCACATAATATCTAGAGAAGTGGGAGCTTCATGCTAGCCGGAGTCAGTGGTCGGAGGAAGAGATTATAGAGAACTTCCTATTTAATGTGGATCCAAGTCTCGGCAAGGAAGTTAAGGAAGCCCAACCGAGGGATGGGAAATGGACTACGTATAAGAAGAACCTCATTTAGCTTTACAAATTAGAGGATAACAAGTACTCCATAAAGGACCTTGAGACTATGACTCAAGATGAAGATGAGAGCGTACGGGCATTCGGGATGCGATTCCAGAAGATCTCTGACGTGCTGATAAAGAAGGGAAAGATCTCAGAGGTCGAGCGTTGTACTATCTTCATTGGACACCTGTCCAAAGGTACACAAAAGAGTATACTTAGAGATCTCCCCCGTGACAAACTTGATTTCCCTGAAGTCCTAAAGCTCGCGATAAAGGCAGAGGCAGACAACTACAAGGACTTGGTATGGAGGGGAATGAGGAGACGTGACTTCTCTCTCTATAAGGAGTATGCCACTGATAGGTGTCATGATTTCAAGGACTATCCGTGGTCGGAAAAGAATGAGGCCGTGGCTGAGGAAGTGAAGGAGATAAGGGACATGGTAAAGGGATTGACAAGACAGGTTACAGAGATTGTGACCACTACAGGAGCCACGACTTACTGGGACAAACCGGAGGGCCCTATTCACTTCGCTGGGACCGTAGGAACACCGATTCCTGGAGGAGTGTCGAGGATAGAAATCCTCGAACGCTGACTGATTATCGTGCGAGGGAACGGGAGAGAGACGATGAGTCATGGCGACGCAGAGATGATGATATAGACCGGGACCGCACGGCACGCGAGACGTATGAGCGAGCTAGGAGACTGGATGATTACTCGCGTAGCCCTCACTATGAGGTTGATGGGGGTAGAGGCGACTCTCGAGGCCGGTGGGAGTCAGATCAGGGCCGGCGAGACGGATACAGGGACGGCAGATATGAGAGATTGGACCGAGATGGATATAGGGACGACAAATATGAAAGGTCGGATCGAGATGGATACAGGGGTGACAGGTATGAGAGAGGAGATCGAGACGGAGACCGACGGGATGACTCGCGCGGATGGTATGACCGCGGGGGATTCGCGAGGGCGCAGCGTGACGATTCGCGGGGGTGGTACGGCCGAGGAGATCGACGCGATGAGTCGCGCGGGCGATACGACCATGGGGATCGCCGGAATGACTCGCGGGGACGATATGAGCAAGGAGGATCCGGAGGAGACTGCCGCAATGATTCGCGCGGCCGGAATGAGAGAGGGGGATATGGCGCGTTATCCGATCCGCATACAAAGTCCCCTGACCCTAGAGCAGCGAGAGGTTCAACCTCCAGGGGCACAGACGACAGGCCTCCCACTCCCAGGAACTCTTGCGTGTACTGTAGAGGGGATGATCATATCAAGAGAGACTGCCCGGATCTCAAACGGGCAATAGATGAGGGACTTGTCGTGCTTGATGACCGCAAGTACGTCAAGTGGGCAGATGATCTAGGAGACGTATCGATGTTCCCTTCGATGAAGGAGAATGTAGAAGCAAGGAGAGTAGACCCGAGTAAAGGGAAGGAACCGGTTAGGAGCCAGAGCATCAAGATAACTTTCGAAGGAGATATGGCAACCACACCCATAAGGGTGGCAGCTACCAAGTCGGCAAGGGGGTCTACATCGAAGAAGACCGACACGGATTACGTGATGGCGCATCAAGAAGAACTGTCGCCATGCGATCTGCTCTAGCTGTCACCTCCGATACTGCTACAGTAGGAGCATTCGCCTTTGGGGCCACCTGAGCCTCCTCTGATAGAGGTATGCGAGTCTTCCGCGTGATCATCTGTAACTCGTCGCGAGTCGGCTTGGATGCCGCCAGATATTCCAGAATAGAGCCCTGCATGGGCTGTCGAAGGGCCCGTCTCAGTGGCTCGACCGTGTCAATCTCATCCAGCGAACTCTTCATCAAGAACTTCTTCACTCCCCGCTTTCGTGGCGAAAAAATAACCTCCTCTCCATCGATCCGCTGTCCAGTACGAATGTCCTCTCTCTCTCTCTGCGTGCCCACACTCTTTTCCCCGCCGGACTTCAAATGGGTCATCTGTTATAATGGGCAGAGAACGCCAGACGCGCTTTCTCGAACGCTGGCCCGCCTATACAAGCTAGCACGTTCCCAGCGCGCTGACTCTGCCCGCACAGAACGGCGATGTGGGCTAGGCACGCCTTGCATGCCGTCCTTCAACTGCACGGGCCGCACCTTCTCCCACCAGCGACCTTCCCCTCGCACGTGCTCAACCGCCTCGCGGTTTCTCTCTCCCCTCACACACGCGGAGTAACCGCCCGAGTGCGGACGCTCCTCCCCGTTCTTGCAGTCGCGGGTACACCTTGCACACTCTGCCCGAAAAAATCCCCTTCCAAATTCTCTCCTCGTCCGTATATCCTCCTGTCCACCTCCGAGGAAAACCCAGGTTGGCCTGGTACTGCCTGGGCGGCCTGTATTGGCGACCATCCGCGAGGCATCAGTCCCTACGTCGGGAAAATGGCCCCGCCACGAATGGCCCCGGTGAGGGTCCAACACGTTGCCTAATATTTTAGCACCAACTGCAGTAACTTGTACCAGGGTGATGTGGACCAGCCGCGTTTCAATGCTGGACCGGCGTGATCGAACTAATAGCACCTGCCTGCGATGAACCTCATCAGTCAGCTCGGTTCCGAGACATAGCTTTGCAATAGCCAATTTACATGTCACACCATGACGTGACATCACGAACCAGAAACGAGCGTGTGGCAAAGGCCCGTGAATGTCGTCGAGGCACCATCCAATTTAAAACATGCTGACGTCGAGGTACTGCCGATCTTGAAATAAGTGACCGCAGGAGCTCCGAACCTGAGATAACCCGCTGCCGTAGCTCCGACCCTGATGTAAAACGTTCATGCGGTTCCGGACCTGAGAATTAATCACCGCAGGAACCTTAACCTGAAAATAAATCACTGCAAAGGGCGCCTGAGTTGGAATATGATGTCCCGATAGTGCCAAGCCTGAAATAAGCCGATGTCGAACCCATGCCGGGCCTGAAACAATTGCCGTGACGGTGCCGGTTCCGAACTAAACCATCCCAGTACGAGGTCGCACCTGCCGATACTAAGTATCGTAGGGCGCCGCCTTACTTGGGTAATAACGAACCTGAAGTAAGTATCCGTGATCCGTGATGATTGACCTGAAAATAACCCACGGTGATGTTCCCGATCCTGGTGTAAAATGCCGCAATGTTTCCGGCTTGAAAACAAACTGCCGCCAAGGTTCCAAACCTGGAATTACTGTCGTAGCGGTCCCAGTCTTGAGAATAAATCACCGCAGCTGTCCCAAACCTGTAAATAAGTCACCGTAGTGAAACAGCTGTCACCGGGCCCATACCGTACCTGAAGCACGTCAGACACCGTAGGACGTAGCCGCTCCGTAACAACCCTTATATCCGTACCGAACCAAACACGGTCGCCCCGGCATAGCACCATCCCCCCGCGCCGTCCATATGGGAACCTCCTCGGACTGACTCAGTGAAGTTAGAACTTAGGCAAATCGGGAAAACGACACGGGAAATCTCAATCATCGGGGTATAGTAAAGAAGGTCAGAATCCAGCGAAAATGATTAATCTGAATTTAGAGCTAATCGTGGTTACCCGTCCCTTTCATCGCTTTCAATCGCTCTTCCTTTTTCCTAGTACTATTGTATGAATTTGTAATATATTTGTAGATTCACAAAAAATAATTCCCGAGGGAGTTTTAATAAAATTATTAGACTTCTTTTGTTCCTTTTCCCCTTTATCGTTTTTAATCTTTTTCTTTCGTTTTTGATTTCATTGCCGGAAACATATAATAACGAGGTATTCTCTCCAAAATCTTAATGCCACAGATAATAAGGAAATTAAGGAATATTACATTTTTCTCTAGCCTGCTACTGTTCTTAATCGTTTTTCCCATTTTTAATTTGGGTTCCAAAATTGACAAAAATTCGAGGCGCTATTCCGGCCGCGATCATACGCTGCAAAAGCATTGCGGCGGGGTCAACCCACGCGATGCCTCCCCGTGGCCGGCCATTTCAGGTCTAGCCTAGGAACGGGCGGAAATGACGGTTCCAAGATGTACCAGGAGCGGGTACCCATTTCGCCATCTCTAAGGGTTACTCGTAAGGCTCAGTGCGCCCAAAATCAGGGGTGCCCTGAGTTCCTTTAATTTTTGCCGCCTGGTCATACCAGAGTACCGTCAAAACACGGACTTGTCCCTGAGCCTAAGTCCCAAAACCGCAGATTTCAGGCGGTGCACTGCTTGTGGCCGCCTGACAATGGCGCGTTTGCACCGCCAGTGCCCGGCGAACGCGCCATCTCTCTCTCTCTCTCTCTCTCTCTCTCTCTCTCTCTCTCTCTCTCTCTCTCTCTCTCTCTCCGCGTTTCACCCACCCCACGCCCACTGCATTTTACTTTTGTTTTTGTTTTGTTTCGAATCTCTGTTGTTATTTTGTTTTTCTGTTTTTTTTTCTCTTTTCGTTTCTTATTTTTTTTGGAATATCAGCGACCAGGCGTTCATTAGCCCGACCCCCGAAAGTCGCGGCGCGTTAACGGCCGCGACTTCATAAAAACAACGGGGAGGTACTGGTGGTTTAAGATACAGACCCTGCGCAGTCAATCCTCTGAATTTCAGGGCAATGAATGCTGGCAGGTCCCTATGCTTCCAATGAGGACACACATGAACTGATGTACTCAAATATGTATTTGTGGGACGCTGGACCCGGTTTCCAGCAGGTGAGGCTCCCCAGCAATAGATGGAGCGGCCCACTAGGCAAAGTCTCAATTCCGGTGGTTCTCTTACCACCACTGGGATAGTGGCTTTGCACAAGCGCCTTACTCTCTCAAAAAAAAAAAGAAAAAAAAAGAAAAAAAGAAAAAGGTTTTGGGCATGCTTCCAGTCACACCGCTGTACCTTTTCAGATGGGACAAGGCCCTGACTGTCTGCAGCAATGGCAATTTGGTACTTTGCTGGTCACACGGCACTATCTACAAATTGTGCGAGAACTCAGATGAACAAATTTTCACCAATTCATGAAGATAATGCAAAAAAAATAAAAAGTAAAAATAGGACATTTGGGGTCACCTCCAGCGGTGACCACAGTTTCCTTGGCTCTGCGGCTCCACAGGCTGCTGAGAAATGGGCACACAAAATGGTGCATTTAGGACTTCGGCAAATCTCCGTGACCGATCCCCTACCTCACGGGGCCCAACGGCATGCTCTCACAGCAGATCGTGGGTGGTGGGCAATGCGCCCAGAGAGGGTCTCGCTACTCAGGTTTCTTCGGCCTCACGGGTCAAACCCCCACCGGCTCGCATGCAAGTTGAACTCATCGGTCGGTGTTTCAACAGTTCATGGTTGTATCAGCTAAGTTAGGCCCGCTGGTTCAGCACGTGTCCCGGAACCGGTATCCGGACTGGTGCCAAGTCCGTAAGAATGGAACCAAAAATAAAACTAGAAAAAAAATAACAAAATCGGGCGATGGGGAGGGAGGAACTGTTGGCACCCCCTTGGTCCAGCGGATCGGGCCCGCAGTCATCACCAACAACAAACCCAAGGGGAATAGTCCACCAGACCCTCAACCCCTTGGTTCCTTTAAGCCGCTGCATTACTTCCTTGTTGCCAATTGCTGCCCTCAGCGAGGTCACGGCAGCCACCTAGCCACGATCTGAGAGACATCGTGGCTAGGTGGCTGCCGTGCCGGAGGTCGAAGGGGGGGGGACAGCCTGAGGGCGGGTCTGCTGTGCGAAATGGCTCTGGAGGGCGTCCGCATACRGGCAGGTAGATGGGGTGTGGCCAGCGAGACGGCAACGGGTGCAGMTGCCTCGTGCGCGAAGATCCTCACTCTCCGTGATAGTCAAACGGCCGCGGGGGAACACAAAACCTGCTGGAAGAGGTAACTGGGCGACCGTGGAACGAGTCCTGGAGGAGGAAGGCTGGCGACGGAGAAGAGCGGAAAGGGCCCGGGCGAGGCGGTCGTCCTGGGAAGAGGTGTCGTCTTCCTCGGGAGACTGGGGGKCGGGTCCCTGGTCTGGGTCACTAGCAGAACCATCTGAGGCCGTGCCCTCCTCGGTACCCGACGGGTYAAGGAGCAGAGCGTGTAATCGGCGTGCGAGCGATCGGCCGGGAMCCCTGCGGGGGCCACGACGGAAAGTGGACGACTGTCGGTGCTGGGAAGTGCGGGGGGCTGCAGCAGTGGCAGCATAGCTGGCAGGAGGCTGGGATGAAGGGCCAATGAGAGGAGCATACGAAAGATGAATGGCCCGTGCCGTGTTGAAAGCCTCGGGTAATGTGGAGATAGAGTAGGCCAGCATCTGCAGCTGGAAWGGCTGAGGGAGGCCTGCACGAAATCTCTGGACCATAGTGTCCTCGGATATGGCGGTCACGGGAATCTRGGCTCGGATACGGTGGAATGCCGTGATGTACGACTCAAGGGCATTGTCGCCACCAAGCCATCTGATTTCAGCCACCCGAGAAATCGGGTCACGGGTCGGCGCAGGACGAGAAAAGTACTGCTGCAGGAAATCGCGGAACTCCGGGTATCTCATACCCTCCTGTATGCCACGCTGGGCACGAAGAGCRAGAAAGTCACGCCAGGTAGAGGCTGCACGACCTAGAAAACGGGATGACATCTCGAGGGGCCACAGGTCCATGTGGACACCATGGTACCGGAGCTGCTCCTCAGACGTGGTGATCCATCCCGGGAGCTCGGATGCCTTGCCGTCGAAGTGGGGCAGGCGATCCGGTCGGAACTGTGGGACATATATGGGTGGCCG